TGTTTTAAGAAAAACACAGGAAGCCTATGTAGCAATGGGATGGCGTTCTTGACAACCCAGCAGAGCCTACAGGTCAGCGGAAGAGGTGGCCTAATCTCCCAGTATAAACAAAAAAGACACAGGAAGTTTCTCTAGCAACCTGAAGGAGTCTCTAGAAACCCAGTAGTGCCTCCACAGGCAGACAAGCAACCTCATCAGGCAGCTCTGACACCACAGCCAGGTAAATCCACAAAGATGGGAAAAAAACCAGTGCAAAAAAGATGAAACCATCAAAGACCAGAACACCTCTTCAAGGGATCACAACTCCTCAACAACACAGGATCGCAACTTGACTGAGGAGTGCAATGAATTGACAAACAGGCTTCAGAAGGTGGATAACAAATTTTTCTGAGCTAAAGGAACACGATCTAACTCAATGCAAAGAAACCAAAAACCTTGAAAAAAAGTTAGATGAAACGCTAACTAGAACAACCAGCTTAGAGAAGAACATAAATGACTTGATGGAGTTGAAAACACAGCACAAGAACTATGTCAAGCAAACACAAGTTTTAGTAGCCGAATTGATCAAGCAGAAGAAAGGATATCAGAGATTGAAGATCATCAACTCAGTGAAATAAAAAGAGAAGGCAAGACAAGATAAAAAAGTGAAAAGAAATGAACAAAGCCTCCAAGAAATATGGAATTATGTGAAAAGACCTAATCTACACTTGATTGGTGTACCTGAATATGATGGGGAGAATGAATCCAAGCTGGAAAACATGCTCCAGGATATTATCCAGGAGAACTTCCCAAGCCTAGCAAGGCAGTCCAAATTTTAAATACAGGAAATACAGAGAACTCCACAAAGATATTCCTAGAAGAGCAACCCCGAGGCACATAATTGTTCAATTCACCAGGGTTGAAATGAAGGAAAAAATGCTAAGGGCAGCCAGAGAGAAAATTCAGGTTACACACAGAGGGAAGCCAATCAGGATCACAGCAGATCTCTCGGCAGAAACCCTAGAAGCCAGAAGAGAGTGTGGGCCAATATTCAACATCCTTAAAAAAATTTTCAACCCAGAATCTCATCTCCAGACAAACTAAGCTTCATAAGTGAAGGAGAAATAAAATCCTTTACAGACAAGTAATTATTGAGATTTTGTCACCATCAGACCTGCCCTACAAGAGCTCCTGAAGGAAACATTAAGCACAGAAAGGAACAAGTACCAGACACTGCAAAAGCAAACCAGTTGTCAAAAATGCAATGAAGAAAATGAGTCAACTAATGGGAAAGAAAACCAGCCAGTAACAAAATGGCAGAATCAAATTCACATATAACAATATTAACATTGAATGTAAATGGCCTAAATGCCCCAATCAAAAGACACAGACTGGCAAACTGGATAAAAAGTCAGAACCCATTGGTGTGCTGTATTTAGGAAACCCATCTCACATAAAGACACACACAGATTCAAATGGATGGAAGATTTACCAAGAAAATGGAGAACAAAAAAAAGCAGGGGTTGCAATCCTAGTCTGATAAAATGTACTTCAAACCAACAAAGATCAAAAGAGACAAAGAAGGACACTACATAATGGTAAAAGGATCAATCCAGCAGAAAGAGCTAACTATTCTAAATATATACGCCCCCAACACAGGAGCACCCAGATACATAAAGCAAGTTCTTAATGACCTAAAATGAGATTTAGACTCCCACACAATAATAGTGGGAGACTTCAACACTCCACTGTGAATATTAGATCAACGAGACAGAAAACTAACAAGGACTTGAATGCAGAGCCGGACCAAGCAGACCTAATAGACATACACAGAATGTTCTGCCCCACATCCACAGAATACACATTTTTCTTAGCACCACATTGCACTTACTCTAAAATTGACCACATCATTGGAAGCAAATCACTCCTCAGCAAATGCCAAAGAACAGCAATCATAATAGTCTATCAGACTACAGCACAATCAGACAGGAACTCAGGATCAAGAAACACTCAAATCCGCACAACCACTTGGAAACTGAACAACTTGCTTCTGAAAGTCGACTGGATAAACAATGAAATCAAGGCAGAAATTAAAATGTTCTTGAAAACCAACCAGAGTGAGGACAACTTACCAGAATCTCTGGACACATTTAAAGCAGTGAGGACAACTTACCAGAGTGAGGACAACCAGAGTGAGGACGACTTACCAAAATCTCTGGACACATTTAAAGCAGTGTCCAGAGGGACATTTATAGCAATAAATGCCCACCAGAGAAGAGAAGAAAGATCTAAAGTTGACATCCTATCATCAAAATTGAAAGAGCTAGAGAAGCAAGATCAAAAAAACTGAAAAGCTAGCAGAAGACAAGAAACGACTAGGATCACAGCAGAAATGCAGGAGATAGAGACACAAAAAAATCAATAAATCCAGGAGCTGTTTTTTTTTTTTTTTTTTTTTTAAAGATCAACAAAATAGACTGCTAGCCAGATTGGTAAAAAAGAAAGGGAGAAGAATTAAATAGATGTAATAAAAAATTATAAAGGGGGTATTACCACTGATCCCACAGAAATACAAACTACCATCAGAGATTACTACAAACAGCTGTACTCACATAGACCACTAAACCAGGAAGAAATGGATAAATTCCTAGACACTTGTACTCTACCAAGACTAAACCAGGAGGAAGTTGAAACCCTGAAGTAGAGGCAGCAGTCAACAGCCTACCAACCAAAAAAAAAACTCCAGGTCCAGACGGGTTCATAGTCCAATTCTACCAGACGTACAAACAGGAGCTGGTTCCATTCCTTCTGAAACTGTATCAAACAATACAAAAGGAGAGAATCTTCCCTAACTCATTTTATGAGACCACATCATCTTGATACCAACACCAGGCAGAGACTCAACTAAAAAAGAAAACTTCAGGCCAATATTCATGATGGACACAGATGTAAAAATTTTCAATAAAATACTGGCAAATAGAGCACAACTACACATCAAAAAGCTTATCCATTATGACAAAGTAGGCTTCATCCAAGGGATGCAAGACTGGTTCAACATACACAAATCCATAAATGTAATCCATCACATAAATGGAACCAAAGACAAAAGCCATATGATTATCTCAATAGATTCAGAGAAGGCTTTGGATAAAATTCAACAGCCTTTCATGCTAAAAACTCTCAATAAACTAGGTATTGATAGAGCATAGCATAAAATGGTAAAAGCTATATATAACAAACCTACAGCCAATATACTGAAAGGGCAAAAGCTGGAAGAATTCAGGCACTAGACAACCATGCCCTCTCACCACTCCTATTCAACATAGTATTGGAAGTTCTAGCCAGAACAATCAGGCAAGAAAAGGAAATAAAGGGTATTCAATTAGAGACAGTTTGACTTCCTCCTTTCCTATTTGCAGATGACATGATTGTCTATCTAGAAGACCCCATCATCTCAGCCCAAGATCTTCTCAAACTGATAAGCAATTTCAGCCAAGTCTCAGAATACAAAATCAATGTGCAGAAATCACAAGCATTCCTATATACCAATAACAGCCAAATCAAGAGCAAACTCCCATTCGCAATTGCTACAAAGAGAATAAAATACCTAGGAACACAACTAAAAAAGGATGTAAGGGACCTCTTCAAGGAGAACTACAAACCACTGCTCGACAAAATGAGAGGACACCAACAAATGGAGAAACATTCCATGCTCATGTTTAGGAAGAATCAGTATCGTGAAAATGGCTATACTGTGCAAAGTAATCTATGGATTCAACCCTATGCCCATCAAGCTACCAATGACCTTCTTCACAGAACTGGAAAAAACCACTTTAAACTTTATATGGAATCACAAAAGATGCTGCATAGCCAAGATGATCCTAAGCAAAAAGAAAAAAGCCGGAAGCATCACACTGCTGGATTTCAAACTATGCTACAAGGCTACAGTAATCAAAACAGCATTGTACTGGTACCAAAACAGACATATATCAATGGAACAGAACAGAGACCCCAGAAGAAACACCACACATCTACAACCATCTGATCTTTGACGAACCCGGCAAAAACAAGCAATGGGGAAAGGACTCCATGTTTAATAAATGGTGTTGGGAAAACTGGTTAGCCATGTGCAGAAAGCAGAAACTGGACCCCTACCTGTCACCTTACACTAAAATTAACTCCAGATGGATCAAGCTTTAAACATAAAACCTGATACCATAAAAACACTGGAAGAAAACTTAGGCAAAACCATCCATGACATAGGCACAGGCAAGGACTTCATGAATAAAACACCATAAGCAATAGCAATAAAAGCCAAGATAGACAAATGGGATCTAATTAAACTCCAGAGCTTCTGTACAGCAAAAGAAACCATTAGAGTGGTTTCTTTTGCCCAACAGAATGGGCAAAAAGTTTTTGCAATCTACCCATCTGACAAAGGGCTGACATCCAGAATCTACAAAGAACTAAAACAGATATGCAAGAAAAAAAAAAAAACCCATTTCAAAAGTGGGCAAAGGATATGAGCAGACACTTTTCAAAAAGAACACATAGATGAGGCCAACAAACATGAAAAAATGCCCATTGTCACTGGTCATTAGAGAAATGCAAATCAAAATCACACTGAGATATCATCTCATGTCAGTTAGAATGGCAATCATTAAAAAATCTGGAAACAACAGATGCTGGAGAGGATGTGGAAAAACAGGAACACTCTTACACAGTTGGTGGGAGTATAAATTAGTTCAACCATTGTGGAGACAGTGGCGATTTCTCAAGGATCTAGAAAAAAATTCCATTTGACCCAGCAATCCCATTACTGGGTATATATCCAAAGGGTTATAAATTGTTCTACTATAAAGACACATGCACACATATGTTCATTGCAGCCCTGTGTACAATAGCAAAGACCTAGAACCAACCCAAATGCCCATTAATGATAGACCAAAGAAAATGTGGCACATATACACTATGGAATATTATGCAGCCATAAAAAATGATGAGTTTGTGTCCTTTTGTAGGGACTTGGATGAATCTGGAAACCATCATTCTCAGCAAACTGACACAAGAACAGAAAGCCAAACATCGCATGTACTCACTCATAGGTGGGTGTTGAATAACGAGAACATGTGGACTCAGGGAGGGGAGCATCACACCCTGGGGGCTGTTGGGTGGGGTAGGAGAGACAGCGGGGGTGGGGAATGATAACATGGGGAGAAATGCCAGTATGCACCTAAAGTAAAATAAATAAAAATTTTCTTTCAAAAAAAAAGTCCTACTTTTATAGGAAAGTAAGATTTTGAGTAAAAACTAAATTTTGGCATGAAGTCTTACTGCTTCAGATCCTTGGTATGTGGCTGTAGCAAATGCATCATAATCACGTATCTTGTCAGGATTATTCAGTATTCTTTGAAAAGGGGATGTTTTAAAAACTTTTTTTTCTTCCCCTGTGTAGCATATGCCTGTAGTCCTAGTTACTTGGGAGGCTGAGGCAGGAGGATTAAGTGATCACTTTGAGACTAACCTGGTAAGATGGTGAGCTCTCATCTCAAACAAAAAAATCCACACACAAAAAAATACAAAATCTATTTTTAAGGCTTCCATTAATAGCTTTTTGGTTCATACATTAAGTGTTTTAAATGAGCAAATGAGTGCATAATCATCCCAGCCCTCTGAATTTCTTTGGATAAACTCCTTTAGTTTATCAGAAGATAATTAACTCCCAACCTGCTTGCCTCTGTCACAGGCCCAGACCCAAAGTCATATTGACTGGCTGTCACTTTGAGCAATTCACAGAATTTTGTCTGAGCCTCAGTTTCCTCACAGGCAAAAAAAAAGTAGACAGTCATACCTACATGCAAGGGGAATGAGAGTTGAAATTATATGTATGTTAAAGTACTTTGTAAACCCTTAGGTATTTTATTATTACTAGAAATGTAATTATTAAGGTTAACTTACCCTTTGGTGACATTCTTAAACAGATCATTGAAACTCTCAAATCTTGTAGGAAGCTTCATTGTTGCTCTTTTGATCTATATTGGAAAGATCTGGCCATGCCAAATGGGCTGTTTTACAAACCAAATGCTTTCCTCATCTTCCTTTCAGTTTAGGGGTCTGAAGCTAGCCATGTCTGAGAATCATCAGAATGTAGCAATGAATCATTTATAACTTCCCCTCAAAATAAAACACGAGATGCTTCTATATTAACAACCATATTCTCCTGTGCTTTTGCCATAATATTGTAGCTGGAAGACTGACACAGAGATGAAGTGTTCTCCTAGTGATTTCTCCTTACATCTCTTCTGGTGATTTGACATGTTTCTTTCTTCTTTTTAAAAAATCTTTTCTAGATCTCCCTTTGAGAAAGAATGCCGTCTTTTTTTTTTTTTTTTTTTTAGGTGTGAGGAGAGTCACAGAGCCTATCCAACCATTTTCATTGTTGCTTTGGCTGCCAGGAAACTCAGTTATGGTTTGGGCTCTCCTGAAGCAGTTGCCCTTGGTCTAGATTTTCCAATAATATTCTACTCCACTCAACTTCATTGATTGGTCCTTAAACTTGTATTTTTATCTTAATGGTACTTTAATTGTATTGCATTTGGTTGCTTATGGTAAGCATTGAATTTCTTTTGGAAGAAGATAGGATATCAATGGTAAACAGAAGAATGAATGCCTTTTATTATTGCCAAGAGACAGTGACATTCTTTGTGAGCATTTTTACTTCTTGAGGTCTCTCTGCAACTCTTTATTGTCTGTAAGGGGCGCCATTCACCCCACTGAGTATCTTAAGTACTTTTTAGAGAATGTGCATTGACCAGAAAAATAGAAATAACCAAGAGGTGCAATTTAAACAAAGCATTTCAACTTAGTTGTTAAACCAAAGTGCAAGGCACATACTGTACCTAGAGCCAAGGAAATTAAATCTTGCATGAGGCTGAAAATGTTAAACAAACAGATTCAAATCCCCTTAGTGAATATTCCTGGCCACTGTAGGAGAATAACCACAATAGTTTAGTACAGCTGTGTCCTGCTTTGGGCAAACCCAACATATGAAAAGCAAACTTACAGAACAGACAGATTGGGAGTGATTATTCACATCACAAAGGGATTAATGGAGGGTTCCTTCAAATAGCATCCATCTCTAGTTTATTAGAATTCCATCTACAGAGATTCAATTTACACAACTTTCAGAAACATGCTTGTTTCATGAAATGCAATATACCTTTGGAGCTGGAGCTGCCTAAAAGGCTTATTCTTTTCTATTCTCAGGGATCTGCACATTTTAGACTTTTGCCAGTGACGTGTCAAATGACAAGCTCCATTTTAGGATCAAGTCATTCAGGGTCAATATTTTGGTTCTGTCTAAAATTTAATGCTCTGTAAGAGATTTACTAATAGAAATTATTTTCAATCACCAGCCCTGTTAGAGCATGAAGGAGGAGAGAGAAAGGTCAGTAAGGCCCAAGCAGAGCCCTAAGAGCTGGTAGCTCTGAATGCTCAGAGCACTTTCCCAGCAATTATACAAAACCCCAACTCTCAGCACCATTTAGAAAATGATCTACTGACCCAAGGCAGGTTGCTTCCGGGGTCAGGAGAAATAAAGGCAGGACTTAGGTTTTCAAGTTTTTCTTCTTTCACCATAAATATCTGATTTGAATGCATCATTCTCTAAAACTGTGCATCTGAAGTACTTATTTTCTTTTAAACACATTGCTTTCCTTTCCAGATCTGAAATTATTCTGCATTGACTGAATAAGGACAGTGGGAGACTGCTTACAAAATAACCAACTTCTAAACTTTGACTTCCTGCTCACTCGACTATGGCCACCAAGTAATATCTGGCACTACCAGACGTGGGGAAATAAAAGCCTATGTGATCACTAAGAGAAGCCCACTGGCATTTAATGTTCTCTATTTCTCTCCTTCCTCATATGCCTTTAGGATTAAAGCCTGGGCCACCTAATCAACTTGGAGCTGACATATTAAACAGTCAAAGGACAAAAGCTGGAAAGGTCTACCATGTACCCCTCAAACCCGAACCTTGGGAAGATTTCTAGTCATTTCCATGTGAAAGGGTATTTTTCATTGGATGAACTCCAAATGTTTCTGAAGAGCATTTATGATGGGCTGAGATAGTAGCCTGGTGAGAATAGCATGAGATGAAACGCGTTACCTTCCTTCTCCTGCCTTCTTTCCTCCATACTAGAAGGCTGAATCTGGGCTACAGATGCCCAGAATGTGATTTTTAATAAAATGAGTTATAGTAGCAAGAAGGAGAGTGAGGGATAGTATGAAGATTAACAGCATGGAGTGAGAGAGACTAGACTGTGGGATTCAGGCCTCACCATGTATTAGATGTGCACCTTTGGGTAAGTAACTTAACCTCTCTGAACCACTGTCCTCTTCTTGATCAAATGGGGATAACATATAACAAACTTTTCACATTAGCTGTATAATAAAAATAAATGATGCACATAAAGCTATTATTCTGTTTCTTTGTTTTGTTTTACTTTTGAGATGGAGTCTTACTCTGTCACCCAGATTACTGTGCAGTAGTATGATCTGAGCTCACTACAACCTTCACCTCCCAAGTTCAAGTGATTCTCATGCCTCAGCCTCTCGAGTAGCTGGGATTATAAGTGCCCATCACCACACCTGGCTCATTTTTGTATTTTTAGTAGAGACAGCGTTTTGCCATGTTGGCCAGGCTGGTCTCAAACTCCTGACTTCATGTGATGCATCTGCCTCAGCTTCCCAAAGTGTTGGGATTACAGGTGTGAGCCACCGTGCCTGGTGCATTACCATTATTGTTGTTTTCATAAAGGCACCAGAATCTTTGAGCTGAATATAAATGTCAGACTTGCTCTAGAAGTAATCTGGCTGCTTTACGAGTGTTTCTGAGGCTAGAAAATAATTGAAAAATTGGGCTACTTAGGTCGATAGGACATATGAAATCTTCAACACACCATGCCTCCAATTTCCTCCCTAAGCAAGAACAGAAGTTGCCTTCGAAAGTCAGTGGGGATAGACCCATGTGGTAGAAAAGGATATGGCTAGTCCTTTTTAAGGACCACCCCTGTTGTGGAATTGATTAGGAGACACATCCTAATGAACTGTTGAGCGATTACAGCTCAAAGGAGGCCAGCCCTTGAACCCGCTCTCAAGAGAGATGCCCCATGTACCAAGAGCCAATTTTGAAGCTGACTGTTCAAAAGGAAATGGGATGTTGGCTTCTTTCCCAGTTCTGCCGCTGCTCCCCTTTGCCCAGAAAGAAGTCTGCTTCTGGTCTTCTGAACTTAAAAGACAAAATGATTTCAGCCGTTTCCCAATCCAAGAGCCAAAACACTAACATGAGAACTGACTGCAGGAAAAGATAACCCATTTTAATTACCTTCAGAATTATGCAGGGATTTGCTCTGGTGTACATTATAATCCCATTGCTTTGCAGTGTTCGAAGACGCAGAGCTAGTTTAAAATCTTCCTCTTTGCTATTTTCGGAAAGCCGATATTTGATGTAACTGTTTCCAGCAAAGCTGAGAGAAGTGTGCCCTGAGAAGACCATTATGAGAAGACACATATATTTTTAACATCCAGAAAGGAGCAGACACATGAAATCACCCAACAACCACCAAGCAAGCTGATTAAAGACCATGCATGAGAAGTTAATGAAGGCATTGAAAAGAAATCATTTTTGATTAAAAATTGGTTCTCCATTTCACATCAAACTCTAATTTCAAAGAGAAAAAACTATTAACCAGCCACCAAAATCACCTTACCTGCCTCATGCCAAGGGCCACTTGGTAAATTCCACAACTTGGATTTCTTTTAATGTTACTAAATTGCCTACTCCCACTTTCTAAAATGAGCATTATTAAATGATATCCCTTCATGCCTCCCTAAAACCCCATCAATCAGACATTAAAGAACTTTCAGCTCCATGACACAGAACAAAACAATTTTCAAGAGATACCCATGTTCCCCAAGTATCCTAATGCCTAATGACTAATTTATGTCATTTGCACTAATGTTGCAAAAAGGTAACTGATACAAAGGAAATCCGTGTAGTTACAATTTCACTTTTTGACCACTAATATTGAGGCTCCCTTTGAATGTAGTCCAACTCAATTGCTCAATTCTAAGATCACTCCTTTTAAATTGCCTTCAACTTTGTTTTAACAGGCAAAGTAATGGCTGAAAAGGCTGCCTTGTTGGGGTGAAAGGTGGAATGTGTGGAAATCTACCAAATGAACAATAATTATAGACAATCAGAAGTTTTCTAGATAGAAAGGAGAAACGTCAGCAGGAAGTGACTCCAGAAGTTAGAAAATTTGGCTTTCTGATCTCCCTACACATCCACCTACACAGTGCATATGTAGAAACAGGCAGCATATTTTTCTTCTAATTCTAAGCCTTAGATGACTAAGGTAAGCATCCAGGTGGTCACTTAATTGCAGCTGCATTCTTGAAATCAGCTATGAAGGAGCTTTGGCTTCCACTTTTAAGAACAGTGCTTCTCTTTGCAAAGGCTGAATTTCTAGAACTCAGTGCCTTGCACATACTAGGCATAGTTATTTTTTTATTCCAACTATTTATTAGATTCTCAAGTTGTTATTAAGGTGCCTATATTTTAAATACACCTAAAGAGGATTCTACTGGTACACAATGTGAAGAATACTCTTTTGTGAGGAAACAATTGGCAGATAATATGTGAATCAAATGAAATATAGACATTGAGTAAAGATCAGAAACAGGACCATTTGGATTAAAATAACACAAATGCTGACTTTTTTTCTTTAAGATGCAGAGGTGAGCACCTCTCCTTCTGAAAAATGAAGTTAGTTACACATTTCCAGTAGGGAGTCCGCTTACTTGGTTCACCAGATGGGGCAGACTCTAAGGAAGGTCAACAGGATTGGGTCAGCTCTGCCTTCTGTGGATCTTGGTTGTTCGACTGTGGATTTGTGCACACCCTGAGCATCAAAGGCCATGCCACAGATACTCCAATGTCTCTGCCCAACCTTTTATTTTCCCTTATGTCACACCCTTAACAGCCACAAGATGTGATAAACACATGTTGTAGTCTCTCCATTGTGTAAGAGGCTCAGTCTTTACGTGTTCCCTTAGCACAAGCTAGAGCTGTGATAAATCCTAAGTAAATGTGACAGTGAATGTTAGCTGGGGTCCATTCTAAAGGAAAATATTGCATGCATAAAGAAACATTTTCTGGGAGGACTTGGATGGTGTAATTTACTCAAGAGCAAGTGTTTCAGGAATATGAAATTAGACCCTCATCATTCCACTCCACTCTGCACCTGAGCACTCTCCGAGTTTCCCTGGCGGACACTGGCAGAGGAACGGTCTCCTGCTGGCTTCATAACCGACACACTGCATGTCTCCTGGACACGGCTTCTCCATACAAGGATCGTTGGACCCTGGACACAGTCCTCCTGTAATAAAGCGGGGATATGCATGATCAATACACAGAGATTCACCATGCACTCCACAGAACACGGAAAAGGTTCAAAGGGAGTGCACAAATGATTCAAGAGCTGGGCTATATGGGCTCTGAGCTAAGTTACAAAGACCCTACTTAGAAATAGGGGCACCTGAATGGGCTTCATCTTGTGTCAGTGTCCATCAACATCCCTACATCTGTCAAATTTCGCTGCCAGACTGATGCAGATTAGATACGAAGAGTAAAGTGCACTCCTCCTTTAGGCTATATTAAGTTACACCTGGACCAACTTCAGCTGCAGAAAGATCACAGTGCAAGGGCTGACAGTATTTATTGGAATGGGGTTTCCATAGATTTGAGGCTATTTGAATGTATCATCTGAGTTTAGATTTCTTCTGCACCCCCTCCTGCCCTGAAGAACTTGGGGATTGATTTCAGAGGGGAAAAACATTTCTAAAGAAAAGTATGACTAATTTTAAATTGTAGAAGCACAGCTCACATTGTTTCCTAAAACCTTCTACTATATGCTATGCTATTGATTAGCTGTAAATGTGCCCTACCAGCTATCAAGAAATAGTAGTTATCTTTAGCAAGGAAGGCTTCCTTTCTACCTGTTTGATGTCCAGAACACAGTAAGATGAAAGGTTAATCCCTCAGAAGGGAAATCCTGGAAAACAGATTATCTGATTAAGAAGGAATTCAGGACTGAAGTGAGTTATTTTAGAACTGTGCAAATATGAGCCCACTAAAGGAAGCACATTTTCCAAAAGTCCTAAGTATTTCACATGTAATTAGGCCACTTTTGACCTGGTAAGAGATTTGGTGGTAAAATGATTATAAAAAAGAAGACACAAATTAAAAATAACCCACAATTGAAACAGTTGTTTCCTAAATGGGTTAGGCATAGACTAAACAAGCGTCCTTTCCCTGTGAACTGAGAACGTACAGCACACCAGCAGCTCATTCCTTAGCCTGATCGTGATCACACTCCTTTTAATCCTATGTCTTTCCTCATCATTAAGCATACTGTACCAGCCATGTGTGTGGTTCATGCCTATAACCCCAGTACTTTGGAGGGCCAAGGTTGGAGAATCACTTCAGGCCAGAAATTTGAGGTTACAGTGAGCTATGACTATGCCACTGTACACTAGCCTGGGCAACAGAACAAGACCCTGTCTCAAAAGAAAAAAAAAGCATATTGTCCAGAGGTACAGTCATTTCTTTGTGCAGAAGAAAGCAAGAATTTAATGCTAACTACTTATAAACACTTTAAAAACTGTAATCCTTGACAGGAGCAATATAAGTAGCACCAGCAAATTCAGAATTCATAAATCCCATTTTCCACTGGTTCACAGCTCAGTCATAAAAGACACTCTTGGCACTGATCCAGCTTACAAAGTCTTAAAGATGAAGGTGTTTTTAACTGAAAATTTGGAAAGAGCTCTACTAATGGTTCTATAAGGCCTAAGTGCCCTGAAATACATCTTCCTATTTTCCTCCCAACCAGATCTGTAGTCCTGCCATGTATTCATCAATATTCATGGAACTTAAAACAGCTGTGTGAGGATCTCATGACCTATTTCAAGAAGCTTTTGATAACTAGTTTTTGAATAACTTTTGGTGCACTCATTCAGCAAAGAATTGTTTGGGGCCAAAGAGATATTAGGCCTGGGCACATAAAGATGAAAAGAAATGATGTCTCCTTTCTCTCTTCTCTGGAGACAACATGACAACACACAATGATAATAACTGCGATGGCAGGTCTGTGAGCACAATGAAGGGACCAGAGGAGGAACAATTCTGTGTCCTGGGAGAACCTCAGAAGTCTTCTCAAAGGATGGGAATATTTTAACTCAGGCATGAAGGATGAGATCCTTTGAGTAACAAAGGAATGAGCTAACCCATTAGTAGGGTAACCTCAGGCCTGCCTTAATGTTTATTCACAGTAAGTTCACAACCCTACCAGCTGACTCTGCTGTTTCCATGTGTGACTTCGTCTCAGTGTCTGACAGCCTGCACACGTCTAGCTTGCTCTTAAATGTTGACTAGTAGTCTATGCTTAGAATGCAAACCGAGCTCAATGCTAACCTCAGCCACGTGGAGGTGGCAATGTGCATATATGAATCACAACATGCATCCCATCAAAGAGATGCAACTTCTGGGTTACTTGGGCATTACCTTTCAAGTACACATGGAAACAGGAGCTTATGTATTTAAGAAATGTTACTTTTTATTCCACGAACA